AGGAGTGGAACACAGCGGTTTCTGTCTGGGTTAGCGACAACCAGAAATCATAACCTCCTGGTAGCTCTTCCTGCACCTGAATGAAACGAATCAGCAACGTCCCTCCATTTCTTAGCAGACAGGAGGGTTTTAGAGTCTTAGCCTGTGACTTTTCACAGACTTTCAACTAAATGAACAGGGAGACTGAGCTACCTCATCCTTCCCGGAGCTGACAATTTCAAAGCGCAGTTCTGAGTCACAGCGAGAGGAGCGGTGCAAAGGAGCCCTCCTCCCTCCCACCGCACTGACTCATCAGGGGCTTTCGTTTTCCACTCCGGTCAGGAAGCCAACATCTTTTATGACAATTAAACTAATCCTAACAAAGGACTTTTTGAAAAATTAATTAAGCCCTGAACTGTACCTGAGCAGTGAACTTATGCGATGTGAACCCTGACACACATGCATGTCAATCTAGACTTCCATTTATTTCTTGGTACTGATGCTGACTCCTAGAAGGGATAAAGTCCTGAAATTTTCCACAAATTATTTTAATGCTAGTTTCTACTGCTTTACTGTATATTGTTCTGTGACAGGCTTTTCTGTAGAAATACAATTCCATACTGAGAAATATATCTGCACTTTACAATCCCATGACTGTTGGTTTTTTGAAGTAAAAATCTTATTTAGTTAAGTGGTTAGCATGTTGGATTACTGTAATCATTTTAATTGCTGAAAAATACCTGTTGGTTTGACTAGGATGAACTGAGCAGCTTAAAAATTATTTTTACCATAGTTACATTTTACCATAAATAGTACTTTCATCATCTACAACATAAAGTCAAAAAGCACGATTTGTGACTGATCCCTTCCATGACTTAGAGCAAGTCACTCTACCTTTCAGTATCTCTCTTTCTCAAGATTCAAAAAGGGAGGAATGATGCCTGTCATTCCAAGTAGCTTTATCGATTTGTGTACAAAAAAAAATCCCATTGTACAACAGCTCTCTGTTTTTAACTAGTAGTAGTTAAAAAATTTCTTCCAGGACCCACGTGTTCCAAGACAACAAGTTGAGATATATGTCTGTATATATGCTCTCAAAAGTTCATCAGTGAAAAATAAAAGAATGGCCTTTGAGTTACAATTTGATTGAAAACATTGCTTAAGCTGGGGACATAGGGCTTCCTTCACAGTCTCGTCAGAAATCTCTTTTAGGTGTTACTCTGTCCTCCAACACTAAGCATTCCTCAGATGTTTAACATTTGGGGAAACTGCAATATCCCAAGATCTGTGACAGCCCTACAACAACAGGTGTATGAAAACACTAGTTTTAATTTGTGCTTTCCATGAAGCAGAACCCTGGGAACAGCCACCACAAGGAGCGAGCTCCGTTATCTGTGAGATACTCACAGAGAGGTACTTTGACATATTTGGGGGATTAAAAAAACCTCTATCTGAGACTCGGCCTGCCTTGAAGTGAAATCTAATAAACTGAAAGAATGTCTTGGACACTTTCAGATGCTAACAAATGTCCAGAGATAAGAATAGATCTGACTGGGCTTTAAGGGTTGGTTTACCTTTCTTGTCCACTCCCAGACTTCAAAACTGCCCTATCGAACTCTTAATGCACTGAGAGAAACTTGCTTGTCCTTCTGTAATGCAATACAATTTTATATTTGTAGTGTTACCCTATTGAAATTTTAAAATGAAATGAGATGGAATACAAGTAACACTAGAATTTCTTTAATATCCTGAGTCATGAATAGAAGCATGTCTAGACTCAAATACAAACCATGTTTTAAAGCACAATTCAAATCCTCCTCTGGTCCCTGCCAAACGCTGAGTTCAGTCCCTGAGGGTCTGAGCAGGGTTTCCTCGGCTACAGCAGCTGGCATCGGCAGCGCTGACGGCAGGGCAGGGAGTGCCACTCCTGGGCCGGGCGATTTCATCAGCTAGCACAGGTCTTGACAGGTGCAAAGCCTTTTGCTTCACTTTTAAGGACCATAAAGCCCTCGGTGCGTGATTTAGGAGACTGGGAACTAACTTTTTGATCCACAGAAGTAAATGAGATCTTTTCCTGATGGTAATCCTCTAGAACTGTTAGTATTGCTTCAATGCGTTTCTTCTAAACACAGAAATAACATTTGCTCTGAAAAGAGTTCTTGATGCATGCTGAATTTGCCAGACATTTCACTTTGAGACAAAGATATGACAAATGTGCTTCCTAGCATTTTCATGCTGATTTATTCTCCCTCACAAAGCACAACTTCGTAAAGAGCTTGAATCAGATCCATGTTCACACTTTACATATGCAACATTTTTGCGGCTGACAAAGTTGGCTTCACATGCAAACCTGGAAATAGAGTCAAACCAGAGAAGGGCATGCTGAGACCGCTATACTTCAGTAGCTATTTTTTCCAACTAATCATCATTATTATTATGACTAGATATTTACCCTTAGGTGCATTGAGCAGATCTTTCTGACTCATCCGTTTAGTGGATGTTGTCCTGTTGGGTTAATGATTATCCTTTTTGTCTCAAAGATTTGTTAATTCCTATAACTGCATAGGATAGCTATTTTAGTACTTAACCAGGTGACCTCGATGCTGACATAACCCTTCTGGTACTGTTGGTTGTAGCTTGTGTCATGGCATTAATGTGAATTATGGCTATCTTGAGGATACAAACCTCCACATAGCACAGATGGTCTATAGGGAAAAAAAATTGTAATGACAGTCTGCACATCACACATTCAGTCTTCCCTTGCAGACTATTTCCCTTATCATTGCCTCATTCTCTTAGGCACCTTTTAATCAAGCATCTAAGGCATCATTTATTGTATGGACTATGTTCCATAATGAAGACTGTAACATGGGATTCTGGAAAATACCTCTGTTACCGGCATTATCACGGTGTCTTGTTGGCCTCCTCCAAACTTGCTTAGCAATGTATCACCATTACTTCCAGAGAGCTGATTTTTTTACTACTTCTTTGAAAGAATGATGAAAGCTGTGTAAGCTCATTAGCAGAGCATGTGTGTAGGCTTAAAATTACAGATAATAGACAAATGGTTGGAAAGTCAGTAATTCCTTTACATATTTGCCAAGACTTAGGTCAAGGTTCAGGGTTTCCTTTGCTCAAACCAGTGAAATGAGAAATACCTCCAGGTGTTCTGGGGAGTGCCGGCAGTGCACATGCAGCACAGGTGATGAGGCACAGTTGATCGCAGTTGTTTTCTGCAAGAACAAACCATGTTTAGTCTAAACTGCACTCAACCATGATGTGCTTTTCTTTTTGCATTAGTATTTTGTATAAGCTAGTGCTTTTATTTAATAGCTCTTGGTGTTTTTAATGCACTCTCATAATCTGTTATTTCTAACATTACAGTAAACTAATTGTAGTAAATTTTGATGTCACAACCCTGGCCTCGCATGTCAGTGAAATGCATAGTTAATATATAGGAAAGTAGTCGTGTGCTTAAGTGCAATCACCACAAAAAATAACTGCCTCTCCACTCAGAAGCCCAGTCCTTGTATGTCACATCAGTATTTGTGTAACCATTTTACAAAAAGCAAAGTGACACAGATGTGTGTAAGGAGTTTGAAAGACTGATACACACATAATTAACTTGGAATGCAATCAGATATTTTACAGGAAAATTCAGCAAAAGGATGATTTTTACCCCTGTTCATCAGCTCTTTCTTCATGAGCATGGTTCTTCAGTTTTTACCGGTAACAAAGTCACAACATTTAAATCCAGGTCCTTGGGCTTAGATCCAGGAGAGGATGTGAGGATGGGTGCAGTTGTACATCTACACCCCATCGGCCTGGGGATGTGGACGCACCATCAGGAGCAAAATCTACCCTCGCCCTTGCGTGCACTGTGTTCCTCACACAAAAGGCAGGCTCTACCCGAGAAGTTGGTTGCATTGTCTTGACAAGTGTGTCCTTTGCTGGCCAGCTGAGAGTGTCAATATGCAAGCAGTGTTATTTGAGATGTTAAGGGTATGACATGGGCACATAGCCACCACTGCCTGGAGTGAGACCACGGACTGATTGCGTGTGAACTACCCCACAGTAGCGTGACAGCCGCTCCACCTGGCCGCTACACCACACCTGATCTGAGTACGTTATGCTCCTACCAAATTATTTTTTATATATGTCTTGGAATATACCTATATTAAGATAGTTTTCAGAATACTGTTTTAATACAAGATATTTCCCTCCTTTAAAATCTCTCAGCATCATTGCAGGTGAAGTTATTTCTTATTGTTGTCGGTTTCGTTGTCACCGTTGTTCACACCGATTGTTTTTAAAGAATTATGCTGTGTTTGTATGAATGTGTGTCACCCTTGCTAATCCATGTTAGAGAAAGCAGCAGTAAATGTTACTGCATCTGTGGGCTGCCATGATTTGCCCTGTTGACACTGACTTAATTTTACACATTTTTCAGGGATCAGAAATGGAGTGAGTGCTGTGTTATACTCCAAGTATCTCTTTTAGGCCACATGACATCCCCTCTATCAGAAACAACATAAGTGTGTGAATATGATGTCTAACACGGAACAATTCCAAAGCAAAACCTATTTAATATTTCAAATCATAACAAGTCTAGCTTAAGTCACATTTTGTAGATAAGCTTTTATGCATCTGGCAGTAGAATTTTGTCCTAAATAAGCAGTGTTAGAAATAAAGAAGTAATGGTCTTAAGAGATTAACTGTGTAAGAGAGTCCATCTTCATTTTATAAAAGGCTGTGTTTTCTTTATTAGGATTTTCACTTAGGTACTGCAGTAATGTGTACATAAACAAATTTTGAAGGCATACGAATTGGAGCCTGAGCAGAGCCTTAAAGAGATACCAAAACCATCGTGTTTTCAAATTCAGCTCTGTTTCATGTCACAGAGCAAAGTTCCGGATAGAGGCACAGTGACTGACCAGCAACTGCAATTTCCTAGATCATTATTTCAAAGTGTAACAGTAAATTTAATATAATTCTTGGTTTTTTTCTGTTTTATTAACCAGTTAATTCAGGCGATGGGATAGACTACAGCCAGCAGAAGCGTGAAAATATTGGAGATCTGATTCAAGAGACACTGGAAGCCTTTGAACGCTGCGGTGGAGAAACTGCTTATATAAATATTAAATACATGATCCCTACTTATCAGTCGTGCATATTAAACTGAGTTGTATCAAATGGAATGATTCCACTTGTGTTCTAAAAAAGCTGTATCTGACTCTGTATGGCATCTTGTTAGTCATGCTTTTTTTCTCTACAGCTGCTAAAATAGTGGCTTCTGGGGCATTAGAGTGTTAGCACTATTGTGAACAAGGCTTTCCAATACATAAATAGTGCCTGTTCCTTTGATTACAATGGTGTACTGTGCTTGTTTGTTCCCTGAAAGAATCGCTCCTTTATAACAGAGCTGACTAGAGCAGGAATCGGAGTTAAATCTTCACTTGTATAGACAATAAAACTATAATTTTCATACGCAATTCAGCAATTGCTGTTCTGTGTCCGCTTGCCCTGAGGGTGATGTCAGAGGCTGTAACAAGAAGAGTTTATGCTGACTGCTTAATAGGTGTTTGTCATGGAAGAGAAACACCAGTTCAGCAGTGCCTCTCTAGCAGCTGTGCCGAATAACGTGCACTGACATACAATAAAACTGTTGAATGTATATACCAATTACAGTGGGAAAATTTATATGGTCCATTACAAAGCACTGTCGTTAAATTAATTCATGTTTCTTACACACTCCTGATCTCGGCTTCCAGGTGTTTACGTTTCTGTGGAACTTGGGTTCCTCTTGGCAAACATCAGGCACAACCACAGTTTCGAAGAAAAGAAGCCCAGAAAAAACTTCAATAAATCAGATGGAAGATACAGCGTGCATAATATATCAGTCCCTAACAACACTGTTAATCGGGGTAAACACAGAATATACACATGTAATTTTAAAGGGTGCTGGGTATTTTTTGTAACTGCAAGGTTCCTGTTGCTTTCCTGTTATTATTATGGTATATATGTGTACAAACAATGTAACTATTGTTACAGGAATCCCTTACAATTTCCTACTCAGTTGGTTTCTCCCTGCATACCCACAACACAGAATTGATGTAATCATGGATTTAAGCAAGGCTACTGAGATTGACTTTATTGCTTTTTAAGCATTTCTGTGGAATAAACCCACAAAAAATAAAACAAGTTTTACAAGTCTCAAGGACAACCATTTAAAAATATCCAGTCAGCTCAAAACAAATCAGGAGATACGAGCTTTGTCTAAAAAGCATGAGATTTTTAGAAGGACAGACTTTGGGCTCATTTACTTTTATTCTGGTTTCTGGAAGCTCTTAAAATATATGCAAGTTGCACTTTCAAATGTTTCTCTGTAACTGTTAGAGCTTGAAATGCACTTTTTGGTGTTAGACGCATAAGACTTTTTCCAAGTGCTTACCCGCATCCATATTCACACCCTGCAAGGCTTGTCTGTGTGAGACACAGCCCCTGCGCTGCCCAGTTCTCTTGGGTGCGGACTGGAAGCGTGGCGAGCACCTTCCCACCTGCTGAAACTTTGAGCTGGATCTGCTGTTAGACTGACATTAGATTTGCCTTTTTCTGTTCCGTGGGATCTTCAGCCTGCGGATTATTTTTTTTCTTTTCTTTCTTCTCTTTCCTGCAGTTGAAAAAAAGTTAAGAGGAAGATTTTTACTCTTCCCACCTCTTTGAGGAACTGCAGCATCAAGTGATGCTACCAGCCACAAGTGCCCACCAGTCCCCTGTTTAGGCACGGCTGCCGCAGGTGTGCCTTTTTCCCAGGTGCCGGAGACCTTCTTTCTATTTGGTTTTTGGTTCTTTCTGAGTTTTCTTTTACACATTGCCAGGGCTTCCCTCAAGTCCCTAGAGTGTGTGCGGTGTCCATCCTGTCACTAACACACACCTGTGTTGGATAAGTACATCCAACGCACTGCCTCGCGTCTAGGGTACCTGTAAATCTTGCACCTCCCCATCAGAAACGAAGATGAAGCCTGGCTGTAGGCCCACGTCTCCTCTTCCAAAAACGCCTTTTACACAGCCACCCTGGCACTATCAGCTGAGCCTTCTCTTGCAGTTTCTCCCTCTGTGTCCCCCTCAGCAGAGCCCTGTCCTGCATTGTCCCTGGCACCAGTGAGCCTCACTTTTCCATTTACTGGTACCTATGGGTTTGGTTACTGTGGCACTGCAGGTTTCCCGTGAGTACAAAGTGTGCTGGAGGACTGCCGCTCAGAGGGAGCCGAGTTATTCAGCTCGGAAACAAATCAGGCCCTTCATAAAAGGATAATCCCAGGCCGCCTTTCACTCCTTAGCTATTTGTATTCTGTCCTTAAGGGAAAGCCCAGTACCACTCTTTGCCTGAGATCAAAAAACTCCTCAATAGCTGGCTTCGGTTCCCCTGCCGCTGGGCTCCAGCCACAGAGCTGCTTGCAGGAGGGACAGTGCGGAAAAGGGCTCTCGTCCCTGGGATCTCCCCATCCCATCATCCCTCTGCATCCCGGCAGCGCTGCCGAGGGTGAGATGAAGTTGCTTGTCACCAGCTTTGTACCCCCATTCCCTGACTTACTCTTCTTGCATCCCCTCCCCATTAGCTCAGTTAGGACAAGACTACTGACTGACAAGTAGACACCATGGAAAATGGGTACTTCTTGCAGCTGCAGACTTGCCCAGACCTGATCCCCTCAGCCCTGTGCTCTTTCTTTCACAAGACATTGCTTCAACAAGGGGTGACCTTATTGCAAACTATAAGGGCAATAGAGGTCATGCACATTCACATCAGGAAAAATAGGTTTTACAGCAAAGTGCTTTTACTTGCATGTTCAGGATGGGAACATTAGCCCCTATCGTACTATTCCTATGGCCGGGCCATTGCTTTAAAAGTGAACATTCTCCCATAACCTTATTAATCGTAGGAGCTGGACTGATAAAAAGAAACACGATAAAACCCACAGCTTGGTAATTTAGGAATACTGAGAATAAAACTATTTTAAGATGTCATTTTACTAAGTCAAACTGTAGGCCTGCCAACCTTGACAGTGTCCCTTTAAGCATGATCAGCAGCGTATTTATAGGCAATTACAGCACAGCTCAGAGCACTTTATAAAGCACAAGATCAAGGACCCAGGTGCTTAAGCATATGAGTAATACTATGTCATTCAATACACTGCTTAGCTATTTTACTATGTTCAAAAAATGGAATTGTGGTTAAAAAATAGTAACTGCCTCTCTTTTCCCCAGATCACTTTGTGGTCACTGACACTAAGGGCAAGCCAATCAACAGTTTCTAATTGTAATCAATTAAAAGGCACTCTGGGCCAAGTGTTTCAAGGGGTATAAATTAAGCATAGCACCATTAAAGGTAACTTGGCTCTATGGAATTGATGGGGCTTGTGCCTTGCTTTGAGGGCTCCTGTTTCTTTCTAGCTCTCCAGCCACCTCAAGGTAAGTACTATCAGTCAAGGACCCTGTGGATGGTTAAATAAGTTGTAAGTGCTGGTTTTCTGAGGCTAAATGTTTGAGATGTCTGCAGTTTATCTTGATAAATGTTAGGTTGGCTGGTGGTTGTTTAGCTTGAAGAATAAAAAGCATATACTAACATCAGGAAAAAAAAATCTACCCGTGCCGTTGTTGTGCATAATCATCAAAACAGGTATAAAATGAGTTTTGGTTTTTTTTTCATGATTTCTCCCCAAAGCTGTGTAAGGAAACTCTGTAACAGGTGTCAGAGTTTTGGGAACGCTGGCATTTTGTGAATGCTGGTGGGTGCCATAAAGCAGTTGCTGTGCAAGCTGTTGAGCCCCTGAATGGCACAACTTCTTGGTGTGAAGCTGAGCAGGGGAGACGGGGGCTGTGGCTCCTGCCCAGCCTGGACCAGGGCTGGCCGGGGCTCCTGCGGAGGGGCAGAGCCTGGCAGGGACCTGGCAAGCTGCTGCCAGCACCGGCGGTGGGGAGCCGGAGCCAGGCTTCTCGCTGGTAGCTTTCCAGTGTTTCAAAGAGATGGAGCTGACAAAAGGAGTTTGTAAGAGGCCTCCCAGGAGTCAAATACAAAAGGGCTATGGGAAGCCGTAAGTGGGAGGGAAGGTACGGGACCCTGGTTTTGGGGGGGGCAGGGAGGTGTAACTGCAGCCAAGCAAGGCAAAAATAAAAAGCTAAAGCAGACGCTGTGTGCTTTCCTAATCCTGTCTGGAGACCCTCTGACTTCCAGAAAAGCATTCTCCAGTCTGAGGGGCTCTGCAGGCAGTGGGGCAGTTCACATTTTTCCACTCATCTGTAACATCCTGTGTTTTCTGCTTTAAATAAAAGCAGCAATGTTTGCAGGAACTCCGTACAAAGCCCGTCTGCTTGCAACCGCTCGGAGCTGCTTTGTGCCTCCTGGAGACCGGGAGAGGAAGGTTCATGCCCTGGCAGGACAAGAAGTTCCCTGCGCCGGCCCCATAATCCTTCCGGCGCGTGAGGGAAGGGGAGGGGAGCGTGTGTGGTGGGGCATATTTTAGCTGCGCTTGTTCTTGCCTAGCGAATATTGCCTGGGTATGTCTGTGGGGGTCCTCGCTGAGAGCTCCGCCATCCCTAGGACAGCGTGTCCAGGAGGACGCTTGGGTCTCCCACCACCTCTGGGGTGGTGGGTGCCCTCCAGCGTGGCTTCTGGTGCGGTGGGTGGAAGCCTGCCTGAGCTGAGGGGGATGATCTGCAGCCTCAGGGAGGAGAGCGTATGTTTCTGGCAGAGCTGGGAGTCAGCTGTGTCCCGAGTGTGCCTTTTGTGACACTGCTTTGGGTGCTTCTTCCGCAAATCAACGAATACTTACTTTTTTCCCAATGCTCGGGCGTGAGTCTGGGGGCTAACAAACTACACAGCCCTCGCAAACCGCCGGGTCGTGAACCCTGGCGCGCTCCCGATGCCGGGGGCTGCGGGTGCAGTGGGACTGTGCGGCGTTGCCCGGAGTCCCCTTCCTCCAGCAGAAAGGGAGAGGGAAGGGGATGGCTGCTCGGACTTTTTGCTGACGAGAGCCCCTCGCGTAGAGCAAAAGCCTCAAGCTGGGGAAGAACGGGCCCCTTCGTGGGGGAGGAAGCGCAGGGCACAGCTGTGTTGGCGTGGCCGGGGCATTTTTGGGACTGCACCCTCTCTGCTGCCGCCGGCCCTGTGGGTGCCCACGTGCACAGGAGCCTTTTGCAACCGCAGTCTGCTGGCCCTGGCTGCTGAGGGCGTGGGGTCAGAGGGGACGAAATGGGAACTAATCCGGGTGCTGTACAAACGCGGGAAGAGAAGTCCCAGCTTCCTTACTCCACCTTGGTGAGGGTGGGTTAAATGCGTTGAGGTAATGGGAAGAAAGGGGACATCTAAACAGAGTGTCATAGCATTGGGTCTTGTATGCCTGTCTCGAGAAACAAGTACGACATACCCTTAGTTTACAAAATGATCTCAGCAATCCAAACTTCCTGTGTTCATCTGCATCAGCATAATGTTT